TCATCTGAGAATTTCATACTTTTAAACATGCTGAAAGTAATGAATTTGTCTACATTACACATATAATGCTAAGAACCTCGAGTCATTTTCACAACGGTGCCGGCCCCATATTCTGAGGTTGGAGGGTTCATACCCAGCCCCAGCTGAACTGCAACAAAAAAAATAGCCAGACATTGTGCCCAGTGCCTATAGTCCCAGCTACTCGGGAGGCTGAGACAAGAGAATTGCATAGGCCCAGGATTTGGAGGTTGCTGTGAGCTGTGACACTACAGCACTCTAAGGAGGGTGATAAACCAGTGCCTATAGTCCCAGCTACTCGGGAGGCTGAGACAAGAGAATTGCATAGGCCCAGGATTTGGAGGTTGCTGTGAGCTGTGTGCCGCCACAGCACTCTAAGGAGGGTGATAAAGTGAGACTCTGTCTCTACAAAAAAAAAAAAAAAAAAAATTTAAGAGGCCCATTCTGAAATGTTTGCTAAGGAGCTTTGCAATGGAACGTGTTGGGCTTATTAGACAAAGCTTGGTCCAGACTGATTGTGGAAACTGCTATGGAACCTTTGGTCTTTTAGACACTGGTATATTTCTCCAGCATGCAGTAAAGATATAGGTTACAAATACATGAAGAAATTTATAGCTATCTGAGGAGAATACAGCTATTCTTCAAATTGCTTTAATTATACAGTTGAAATATTATAGTCTATTTTCACACAAATGATCAAGAGTTCATACTGACAGACGTGCATTGGGTAAGAAATATTGGTACATAAAAGTGGGATTTGGGCATGAAGACATGGTGTGGGTTACACGGCTCTAGTCGTCTCAAAATAGATTGTAACTGGCATTCACATGTATTTCCTTAAATTGTTAAAAATACTGTGTCTACTCAGAGGACCAAATTTCATTATGAGAGAATAGGCAACAGAACAATCTTTAGTTTTATCCCAAGGTTTGGTTTTGGCACAATGAAAAGGATCTTGTTTTCCTATCAGACTTCTTAATTTGTGAACTTAGTGGTAGTCGATTTTATTTCAGATTAGTATGAGGGTACAAAGGATTAGGTTACATTGTTGGCATTTGTTAGGTGAAGTTCAAGTTATAGTTGAGCCCTTTACCCAAAGGGTGTGCTGTCTACCCTGACGTGTGCCCCTTGGGGGACAGTCCACTAATCCCCGTCATCCTCACTGCTTCTCCTCCCCCCTTGAATTTTCTCTCCTGGGGTGTGTAGCTGTTCATCTCACGATTTCCTATTTTTTTTTTTTTTGAGACAGAGCCTCAAGCTGTCCCCCTGGGCAGAGTGCCGTGGCATTACAGCTCACAGCAACCTCCAACTCCTGGGCTCAAGCGAGTCTCCTGCCTCCGCCTCCCAAGTAGCTGGGACCACAGGCGCCCGCCACAACGCCCGGCTATTTTTTGGTTGCAGCCGTCATTGTTGTTTGGCGGGTCCGGGCTGGGGATTCGAACCCACCACCTTAGGTGTACGTGGCTGGCGCCTTAGCCGCTTGAGCTATAGGCACCGAGCCACGATTTCCTATTAATGATGACCTCGCTCATGTCCATCTGATAGTTGTGGGAAAATACAATTTCAGTTCGGTTCTGTAGATTTATTTACCTTTGAATTTTTCTCTTCCTGCTCAGTAAAGGTACCATCCAAATATTTTTAGACGATAGAAGAAACGAAATGTACACCTAACGCATTGTGTGTTTTCCCTCTGGCGGACATTCGCCATGCGACAGGATCATTACTTTTCCAGGTAGCCTTGCATTTTACCTTCCTGGAATGTTTTTACGACCTTAAATAGAACCCCATTTCTCATTAGGATGGTCTTGTGGGATGCATTTGGTAGACATCTGAGATCAAGATCTTATTTTCAATATTCCACCTCACTTCTAGCAAATAAGCTCTCAGCTTATGACATAGATCTTAATATGCTAAAAATTTGAGCATCTGATGGGAAAACCTAAATTACAGGTTACATGAGTGCCCATTTGGCTGATAAAATATTTTCTGGAAACATACTGTGACACTTGTGTCAAAAATATATTTATTACGAGCTCTTTGTTACATGATGAACACTTATCCTAAAAGTAAACAATTATTACCACCATTTTCATTGGAATTTTGTTTTTTTCCTAAAACTCAAAATAAGTTAGCAGGAAATGCATAAAATTCTGTGAGTCATCTGATCCAGGATGACTCCATCCATGAAAAAATAAATGCAATGCAGAAATAAATAGCTTTGTAGTAAAATATAAAGGTTCTGCCCTTGGTCAAGTAAATGAACGCGTGACTTCAGTTTACTTCACTCTACCATGTGATCTAGTAAATTAGTTTTTTAGCTGCCAGAAGTGTGTTCTTCAGAAGCATTGCCACCGTCATGGGTCCCACGCCTCCTGGAACAGGGGTGATAAAGCCGGCTTTCTTCTTAACGGCTGATGGAGAAAACAGAGTATTCTTTAGTTTGAAATTCATCTGAGAATTTCATACTTTTAAACATGCTGAAAGTAATGAATTTGTCTACATTACACATATAATGCTAAGAACCTCGAGTCATTTTCACAACAGGCTGTGATTCGCACGCTCACTCTGATGGACACCTCTGCATGTGACATCTAAGGCACAGAAAGAATTCACGGGACCAAGACCACAGGTCACAGCTACACGCAGCTCTGTAGCATCACCTGATGGAAAGCTGAGTCCTGTGATTGAACCAATTATCACTGCTTGTAATTCCAGCTGCTTCTAAAACACACAGCATTGGTCACAAAAGGGAGACGGGACATATGCAGCTCAGCACACACCATTCATTACATTTAATTATTGCTGTTATTTCAGTGTCACTGTGCGGGTGTGGATAGTAAATTCCAGTGTAATATAACAAATGTCACTAAACCTATTTGAATTACTGAGCACATATATAGTCCTGCTCCCAGTCATGAAGACTTCTCATTCAGTGAATATACATGGCCCCTGCCTTGTGATGACTGGATTTAAGATTTTTTTGACTTCACAACAGACTAAAAGCGATATGCGTTCAGTAGAAACCATATTTCAAATTTCGACTTTTAACCTTTTCTCTAGCTCAATACTCTTTCATATGCTGAGAGTGGCAGTGAGTCGCTCCCAAGAGTGAGCAGCAAATGCTCTGTGCACGTCCCTGCCAGGGGGCTGTGCCTGGGGGCAGGCTACAGTGAGGATTTTGGACACATCTGAGGTAGGCCAGGCCAAGCTGTGACGTTTGGTAAATTACATTATTAAATGCATTTTAAATTATGATATCTTCAACTAAAGATGGGTTTATCTTAACTTATCGTAAGTTAAAGAGCATCTGTACACTCAAAGACAATGGCAAAGTATTCTCACCAAATTTTATTTAAGAATGTTTTGATCCCCACAATACTAAAGGGCAATGTCTCCAAGTAGTCGCTGACTCTGGTTCCACCCTGCGTGTGTCCATAAGAACAGTGAAGTTTTTCTAGCTAGCTCTTTTAGTACAAAATTAGCAGAGGCAATATCTCCTTAGTGTAGAATCTGACATTATTAACCGCAGATGTATTGCCTTTCACAAATTTGCTCATGTTACTTCCACATGAATCAAAACCAGCAGATGTTTCCTAGTTCTTCAATATTATCTTTTTTGCACACTATATACTGTTCTCTTAAAAGACGATTTGTGAAATTTGCTTTTACTATATTTAAAGTGGAATAGTACAGTGGGATATTTTAATCATAGGAAAAGCAAATGGATTATACTGTTTTACTTAAATAAAAGTCCAAATAAGCTTCAACACATCACCCACAAACCCCAGCAAATGTGCCACACATCTTCTGACGGTGTGTTATACAGAAAAGATAAGAATGCTGTGGTTTAGAAGGGATATTACAGTTTTCCAAAAAGCTTCTCTATGCATGGATGTCCCATGCTTTGGGTTACAGTATTTCCATCCTGTGCACTCTACCAGATGGGGTTAACAGCTGAGCCATGTATAGCAAGGGATTGTTACTCTTTATACAGCCGAGCCTCTTATAGCAAGGGATTGTTACTCTACTTACAGCTGAGCCTTGTA